CTCTTCCGATCTAATCCATGATCGCTAGACATGAAATGAATTCGTCTGAATTAAATTCGTCGTTTGAAACGAAACGATTTTAGTGTCGACCAATTGACGAATTTAATAACGAATTAAATTCGTCTGAATTAAATTCGACGTATGAAACAGGCCTAACTTGCGTTCGGGTAGTGAGCAAACAAACAAACAAACAAACAAACAAACAAACAAACAAACAAACAAACAAACAAACAAACAAACAAACAAACAAACAAACAAACAAACAAAACAAAACAAAACAAAACAAAACAAAACAAAACAAAACAAAACAAAACAAAACAAAACAAAACAAAACAAAACAAAACAAAACAAAACAAAACAAAACACAAAACAAAACAAAACACAAAACAAAACAAAACAAACAAAACAAACCAAAACACAAACACAAACAAACAAACAAAACAGACAAGGGAACCTACCTTAGCTGGATATAGTGCATCATTGATAACTTGCGCTGGGCTGGCGAGTGTCTGACGCCAAAATGACCAGATACCTCGATATCTTTCACGATTGGGATAAACTGTCTCCGTCATAGTAACAAGTTTCTTACGAAGAAATAACGGCAAAACTTTCTCTACGTCCAACGCCAGATCAACCTGAAACAATATACAGTACATCAAACAAAGTATAAACAAATGGAACCGTTGTCTCATATTCCCAATGGCAAAACAATGAGCGACTGTGTTGCATGGAGAACAGTGGGATTTTCAAAACAATGAAAAGACAATGGAACATTTCGATCAAAGACTCCCGATTGGATGACACCATTGTTATGCCAAGTTTTATGCAAAAAATTCGTTCATAGACTAGTTCTTAACAGCTATTTAACCTTTGAAATTCCGCAAAAAAATTTCAGCACAAGCATTTTCTAATGGTCCGCTCCTAAAACACCTGAAACTATGTTAAAAAACACAGCTTGCACCACGTTTTTGAAAACACTTTTCAGTGTTTTAAACTGCTTCTCATATATGATATTGATGTTAAAAACTCCAGGATCTTTACTGGAGTCGATAACCGATTAATAATCTGACCTGCATTGCCAAACGTTTAAGAGCAGCTTTATCTTGAACACCTTTGATATCATCAACAGCCAAACCAATCTAGAATGAACAAGATGGAAACATCACATGATATAAAATGGACAATTTGCTACCAAGCAGTCAGGGAAAAATTGTAACCGGATTCCGGTAATAACCAGGTACCGGTCTACCGGATACTAATGGTGGTACTTGGACAATATTTCACCAATTTTCCCAATAATATAGTCCATTGTTTCTGTGACACAGGGGTCGGCAGGGAAAATTTAGCAGAAAGCAGTTTACATTACGAAAACGTTTTCTAGCATGTCCAGTAATTGAGCCTGTTTCACAATTTCTTAACACACAGAAAAGATAAAGGGAACACTTATTCGGTTTCAAAAGATCCAATACCATCCAGCAAATATGAAGAAAAATGTTTTACTGGATACTGCTCGATGTTTGTATTTTACCGGATACTGGATAACGGTATCCGGATTCGCCACATCCTTATCTCCAAAAAGTTGCGTATTATTAGCAAAATATCGTCTGTATATCGAACACTCAGAATATTAAGAAATTTTACTTACCAGTAAATTAACAATTATGACACAGTTAATAACAAGAAAGCAGACATAAACAGCCCAGGTGATCGGAGGAACATCACTTTCATTATAAACTGTATCGTATTCGTACTCTCCCAACATCCCCATCGTGGTTTTCAACATTGAACGACCTGGCGTCGAAAACGGGATCTAAATACACCAGAATAACTCGTATATATTATGTTTACTGTACATATTATGATTTGTTAGGCAAATTACAGTTTTGTTGAATGTTCATGACGAATATCTGACAATTGGTGATTATGTCAGACGATGTATTTTTTCAAATATCATTAACGTAGATCTCCAGTATAGACATTATAAATTAAAGCTAGAAGGACATGTACGGTCCGAAAAAACGAGCTTTCTGATTTTAAAACTGTGAAAATGTTAGAGTTCGGAATCGGCAAGGTGAATTTTGGTGTAAATGCTGAGGAAGGTCAAGGAAAGGTAGAGAAATTTTAGGGGCGGTCTGGGGTACTCTCCGTGGGATGTTGGGGTTTATGACGTGCATACATGCCCTCTAAACATGGCCAGAAATCCCGGACATAATTTATTCTAATTCCATAAACATTTACATATCACTTTGAAATATGGCTTTAACTGTAAACAGTAGATTGTACAACGCGATGAGGTAAATTGCAAAATGTAAGAATATGGTAGATCGTTTGCAACTTGCCGAAATCGCTGGTGCTAAATCGAAGTTTGTCGATGTATCTAGTGTAATTTTGGCCTAGTTTAAATTGCTGTTTTTCCTGCTTTTTAGTTTATTCCCAGTACGGTATTTTTATCAGTGGCGGCGCCAGGGGGGGCAAATGCCCCCCAAATTATTCCCCCCCCATTTTGCCCCCCCCCCGCAAAAAAAATTGCTAGTCACTAAAAGCGACTAAAAGCTACACAAGCGTTTTGTCGTTATCGGAAAATGTATGGCTTATAAGTTGTCATTACTCATTAGTGAATGCGCGTATACATGAAACTGTCTTTTACAGGTTCAATATTAGTTTGTAAATCTCTGAATGGTAAAACTTGCCAATACTCCAATAATACGTTTCAAAAAAAGACAAAAAAGCTTTAGTTTTGCAGAGTTGAATTCTCAAACGTGTAAGGCAATAATAAGATGAAAGTATCACGAAATTATTTGAATAAACCACATCGCATATATGGGGGGCGAATGTCCTAAAAAGGGGCGATATTCCTAGGGTATTCGCCCCACCCCCTGGGAGGCGATATTCCTAGGATATTCGCCCCCCCCGGGGGCAATATTCCTAAGAATATCGCCACGTTTTGGGGGGGGGGGGGGCGAATTTCCTGGGGGGGCGACCTTTTTAAAAATTCTATCTTGCCCCCCCCAAAATTTGAGTTTGCCCCTCAAATGCCCCCCCAAATTTGGAAGCCTGGCGCCGCCACTGGTCTTAACTCCTTAAGAATATTATAATGTAAGTACTGACGACTGCAGACGGCTGTGGTGTAAAGGATGTACAACTACCTGAAAACAACTAAACAGCTTGTTCAGTAACTTCACGACGAAGCGTCTTCGCTCGAAACATTGAGCATGAAGTTCTGTTTGTATATTTTCAGGTTGGTGTTCACTCTTTACACCACAGCTTTCTGTTATCGTCTACACTGGCACCGTTCAAAATTTTGTCGCGACGACTGCAGCCTTCATTTCAGAACGGAAAAGAAATGTATCAGAGAAACTTACCAAAATTAAAACGTTTATCCTCTGCATCGTTACAATCTGTCGTCAATCTGATGTAGGGATCTATTCCTGCATTTGCGAGTGCATCAGCTGTTTTAGGGACTGCACACCGCGTCCCTTTATTAGGTACTTCATATACAGATAAACCTCCCCAAGAGGTCTGGGTTATAGCATGGTCCCGATCACGACAATTATCTGAAGGCTTTGTAGCAAGGAGCAAATACAACATAGGAAGATTATAAGCAATACCACTTTCCCTACGTGTTCCCTCGAAACAACCCTTTCTTTTCAAATTGAACATGGCATTATTATCAAGAAACCGAAACTGAGCAGCTGTATCCAGACAGTTGTTGGAAAGTTCCACATACGATAAGTTTCCCCAATCCTGGTCCGTCTGTAGTATTCTTGTGTCATTAATACACATCCCTGTCTGCACATGTTTCACAAAGAAACAAGCAGCACCTGGAGAAAAATAACTCAAAAGTAAATACATTTCTCCAAGTCAAGTGGGATGGATTAAATACGTGGAAAATTTAGGAAACAATATTCTTATACCGGCATGTCCTCTACGTTGCGGAAACAAGATTTTTTGCATCTATAATACACATGATGTTATTTTTGTTGGAATAAAACTAGTATATAATTATTTGTATAACATATTTGTATAAAAGTTCCGCTGACTAATATCCGAGTTTACTATAAACGCGTCGAACGTTTTATGGAATTGATAAAGGCGTTGTTCTCACGAAACAAACCAATGAAACAGCTTATACATAAATACGATACGATAAATGTGGAGAGAATACAGTATTTTGCTGCGTGAAAAAATGCTTAAAAATGGCAATCAAAATATGCAAACTCCGACAGTATAAAACGAGATCGCAGTGGATCCTGGGAAAGTATCAAACATGACGTTGACTGGTGAAACTTTTAAAAATAAAATATTTTTTAGACTTATACTGCAAGGTTGACGTCGACCCGAGTAATTTAGCCATAACAAAATGAACTTCACATTCATATCAATCAAAACCAGTCTAGCGTATAATGAAATGCACCAAATTAATGTAAATAACAAACCAGGAAGTAAGTACAAATTTTTATAACCTGGAATTTGCATCTAAAGTGAAACATGGTTGAAATCCAAAAACTACTTCAATTTACTAGTACAGGAGCAGCATTTTAATATACTACAAAGATATATGTCGTTCTTAGGGCATATCCGAAGATTCGGGCTGCTATTTTAACATAACATCTTGATAATATCTTTCGAATGCAAACTAGTGTAACTACCGGCTGAAAAATACAAGGAGAGTTTCGAGCAAATGCCCAGGTCAGACCTGGAAAAAAGTGGGATCTCGGGATCCCGAGGAACATTTGCGTTAGCAGTTAGCAACAAGATTGAGGAACATTTTGAATTTTTCACGCGTACTTTAAGGGAGAATTTTAAGGAATCATATTTAGTTATCTGCCTTTTGAGTCTATTTTGAGACTGCGAAGTGTTCATATCTTGTTAATAGAATTTGGAGATTGTTTTGATTCCTCAGCAATTTTACAACCAATATAATTGAGGAGCATTTGAAAAAGGCAAATTCAGGATCCGAGGAACATTGAACACTTTTTCCAGGTCTGAATGCCCTTCATCGGAAAGTTACTGTAGGTATGTATAGGGCATTCGCTCGAAACGCGTCGAATATCTCCTTATATTTTTCAGGTAGTTAGTACATCCCTAGCAATCGCAGTTTGTTAATAGGGAGTTTGAGCTTCACGTTTCCGGTACGGCAAACGGCAGGTTCGAATTTTGTTGGCAAAATTTTCGTTGAACGTTTTCGTTTCATATTTTCTTTCTTGTGTCGAAAGAATAATCATGCATTGCAGTTTTAAAACAGCAAGTGCATTTACTCTTTATTGCCTGATACTGTAAAATGTTTTTTTGCCTGGCGTTTGTCATTTGACGTATACGCGAAGGCGTAGCTTAAGCTCTCTGTTATTTGCACTATCCACATCGACACAGACCGTTCAAAAACCCTAACCCTATATTCTATAATTATTATGTTTGTTGGTATTACAATATATATGAGGGCCGTATCGGTTAGAAAATTGTCATGGCTAATATGTACATTTCCCTCATGAAATACAGGTTCACTGCGACTAAGACGCCTAGCTAACAATCAACTCGATACCTTCAGCCGATTAATTCAACTGCGTCAGTACGAGTGATAAGTTTCACCACTTACCTTGCAAACTCAGGAAAATTACAATGAATTCCAGGAAACCGCACTTACAGCACTTTGACAACATCTCGTTAATTGCGGTATCACTTCACATAAGTCGAGACAAGATCAGGTGCAAACGTGTTTCAGTGTTGAGAAGTGCGAATGCGGAAGGCGCCAAATGAATTATTATACCGGAACAAAACCCGATAAATATTCGTAGAAACTCAGCATGAAGTCTGTGGTGCTTTTGAAGTTGAATAAATAAAAAATATCCAACATTCCTTTAGGCTTTACGTTTGTTGTTCTTAAATCATTAACAAACTTTATAAATATAAGCAAGCGACATTTTTTCCCGAAAAATGAAACAACTAATTTTGGCGGCATTCTGCCTCATAGCTCTCGTGTAAGGAAGCAAAACAACTTTAATAGTTTAAATCTTATGTTTTGTCATATGTGTTGAAGATTACGACAAACTGACATAAACACAATTTTTAATCAAATCCCTCCTCGGCAATCTGACGTCCGTATTGACATAAACATCACTTGTTAAAACTCATTCCCATCCGGTCGAAAAGTAGCAATTTCGAGTGGCGTTGTTTCAAACGCTTATATCTCTCAAACTATACATCGCATGGAAACAGAAATTGCATCGTTCGAAAGAGGAGGACTTCTGCTTTCCAACGATACCAATTTCAATTTCATCCGGA